TAGACGCAGCCATTTAAGTACTGAATCGAGTATAATGAACAGTAGTAATACAGAATGAATCAATCGTTCGTTGTATTTTTGAACCGTCGTAACGTATCATCCTAAACTCAATATCCTTATAAGACTAGCTGCTCTCTGAGCAGTGAATGTTTATTCAAATTGAACGATTGCCTAAACCATTTTTAGATTGCTTTCTGTTAACGACCCATCGCAATTACAGTGCTCACTCATCATCACAATATGAGAAAGCGAAACATCGAATGTAATGCATGCAACCTTTTACGATAGTGATTTCAATAAAAGCATTGGCAATAATAAGAGCATAGCTGATGCAGTGAAAAGATGTTGCGATAATAACTGCAGTTTGCAGAGTTCAGTCGGATGAGATGGACGGTAATTGTGTCTCGCTGAATGAAACGTTAAGCAATCCAGCACTAGACACGTGCTATGCAGTTGATAACAACGATAAGTCTCTATCACTGTCCACTATTGAAAACAAAGCCTTGAGCATGATCAGCGTCGACACTAAACCATCGTTGTGCGTGGTAATCGCTTATCCATTTTGTCATTTTCTAGTGTGTTGTTATGAAATGTTTCTGAATGAATACAATTCAAAGGGTAATTTCATCCAGAAATCAGACTATCATCTGATATGGTGTGATAATATGAAAGAGACGCTGATCAGAGAGTTTTGTCAATCCGAGTGTTTATGGAATCCAAAAGATAAGAACTATCGTTGCCATCGATGGAAGAAAGTCATAATGTCACAAATCGCGAGGAAAATGAGTATCATCTATGCTGTCCGAGTCACTGGTTGGTTATTGCTAATATTTATTCATAACTATTAGCAGTAAATTCATTTGAAATCACTCCGTTGTTGAATTTTAAGAGAATGAATTACTGCGGCAGTGGAATATGCTTCGTGACCAGTTTCGACGTGCCAAACGAACGGGCAAAGATCAGTGGCGATTTTACGATCATTTACTGTTTTTGGATAGTGTCGATTTCAATAAGGATTCCACCTATTGGACAGAGTGAGAGCTTATCTTATTCATAACTACCATTACTATTACAGTTATCGATGCTATCGTTGTGAAATGCGTCTTATTATGATTGTAATCAAGTCATTTCAGTACATCATTATCAAT